AAAACGTGTCTTCAATTAGTTACGACTGACTGCTCATAATATCTATAAATTATCTACCGAGGCGAATCAAAGTTTATGAAGTGTTTGCCTAAAAGGTAAACAATTTGTAACATAATTGAATTGCATGTTAATTTTTTTTTTTTTTTTTTTACACTCGTTTTCTCACTCTAACTGAACTCTTGAGAGTTCAACTTTTTTATGTTTCTGAAGAAGTTGAGCTATATAAAAGCAATTTTCATCAAAGTCAATGCGTAGTCTACATTTTGATGGTATTCACTTTGTAATACACCCATATCGTAAATGAAATAATTATATAGTCTTTTTCTATTGTGGGGGCGCGCCTCTTTTTGTAAATGGTTAAATGCCTTAATGCTCTATCAACAAAATGCCACAAATTGTGGCGCTGTCAGCGGCAAAGCGCACCGCAGCGTGTTCAAAAATAAAACCCTTTCACTTCCGACCTATTACCTATGCATTTTCTCTCTCTCTCTCGCTCTCTCTCTCTCTCTCTCTCTCTCTCTCTCTCTCTCTCTCTCTGTATATATATATTTTGTTTTTATTTTTTTGGGTCAAAGTTTGTCAGCGTTTGTTGTTGGCATTTTTGGTCTTCCCAAATGTTCAACGCCAACGCAGCAGCGCGCGGCAAGGGGCAGCAAACCAAATTTAATGCAACATCATCGATGCCAGCAACAACAATAAATTGTTGACTTGTTGGTTGGCTGTTGGTTGTTGGTTTTCTGCTGCAGTTGTTGCCTTCATTCACAATGGAGATTCGTATTCGTTTTACTCGTGGGCGTCATCCCAACGCATTGTGTTCGAATTGATACGAATTCTTGTTCGGCTATTCTCCTCCTTCAATTTTATTTCTTGTTTTGTTTTCTTGCCTTTGTGTGCTGTGGCAAGTTTAATTTGTTTATAGCACGTCCGTTTGTATTTAAACGGTGTCAATTCAACAGAGCAAGCCCTATGCAGATCGTGTTGACTTTTGGCCTTAGAGCCAGAAACAATTGTGAGAGGTGGACAAGGCGAGACCAAATCAAATTGAGCCTCAATAACTTGTGGCAGGCAAATTTATATTGATGTTGTTGCTGTTGCTGTTGCTGTTGTCGGTTGTTTGGTTGTCGGCGGTGGTGTTGCAGGTAACGTTTATTGCAACACGTTGCGGCACCGCCAACAGCTGTCAGCTGGCAGTTGGGCCACGCTTTATCTGCCATCTGCGGCGCATGAACACGCGGCGTATGCGCAATTGCCATTTAATTAAAATTGTTTGCACAGCTTCGCCAATTGCCCGGCCACATTATATATATAAATATTTGTTTTTTTTTTGCGCTTGCCTCTTTTATTATTTAATTTTCCTTTTTGGTGTTTTTTTTTTCTTTGGCGTGCAGGTGCGCAACGGAAACAACAACAACAGCAACAGCAGCAAGCAAATGTTCACACGCTACGCGACTTGGGCTAATTAATATGCATAGCTCGGACGCCACGCACTTGAGTATTTAATTATTGTCATTAGCTGAAGGGCGGGGGCAATTGTTGCTGTTGTTGTTGTTGTTGCTGCTGCTGGCCAACTGGCCAACTGGGAGAGCAGGCAATAAACATTAAAGAGAAGCAAATCAAATTATAAAAATTGAGAGACGGATGAGAAAAAGAAAAGGAAAATTAAAACGCAAGAACAAGGCGTCTTCATTAATGATAGGAAATAGGCCGCCGCCGTCAGTCAGTCAGGCAAATAAAAGTGAAATACATTTGACAACACCAAAAATTTTCGTTTCAGCCAACTGCTCGCTCAGCCGCTCTTGGCCGCATTAATGCCAATGGCTAATTAACTTGTTGGCGAGCTCGTAAAATAGTTTGGCCGCTCATCAAGATAATAAAGGCCAGCGAGCGAAGTTTTGTTTGCTTTGTTTCTTGCTGTTGTTTTCTCTACTCTTCTCTTTTTTTTTTTTTTTTGTTATTCTCCTGTTCGTTGTTGGTTTTTGACCGCCTTTAATTGCGTTAAGAGTAAACTGAAAAAAAAAAAAAAAAATGAACAAGGAGTGAAGTGTGTGGAAGATTGAATACACTTTGAATTAGAAGAGCTCTTATGATAAAATTAAATATATTATTTAGGCCGTGTAGAAGAAGAATTAGTTTATATATAGAGTAGACTGAATTTCTGTTATTATAGATGATATATGGTATATCTGTCTGCGAGTGGAGCAAGTCATATTTGAGATCTTTCGAGTCGTTTCTTCACTGTCTTAAGATCATAGTTTGGGATAAATGTAGCCATATCCCGCTAAATAGAGATGAGCATTATTTTCGCACATACTCTATTTTGAAATAAGCAGATATCACTTTATAAGCCGAACTTTTGATCTTTTGAGTAGGTGCGATTTACTAACCCTCTACTCTATGCTGGGAGTAGAATGAATTCTATTTATATATTGATATATAGATATTTAAACATATACAAAAATAATGTATATATAATATAAGTCTATTTATATTAGGTTGATTTCTAGAAGCCCTATATTTATATTCAATGATGCAACGATATATGCTTAAGATATTCTGATAAAATTATACGAAAATATGTTCAATCCTTCGATAGCCTATGCCCATCTATAATTGTCCAATGGAAAATTTGATGGACTGCAAATATAGCCAAATGGATGCATCTGTTGATATTGTGGGTTAAAAAACAGGAATATCACTATTATGCTATATATCTCTTCGTACTACTTGCTGCCCGACATAGTTGTTATGCCCTGCTGCAAAGTGTATGTGAAAGACATCAAAAGCCGGCTAGCCATAGCGTCAGCTGCAAGTCGAGCAGGTCACATATCGCTCGCTCCGCAAAATGCCAGCGAACGGCTACTGCTGATGTCGCGGGCACTGGCGGTGGCCGGAGTACAGCTGGGACTGGGTCTACATGTCGTCGGTGCAGGCACTTTTGGTAATTAGATTCTCGAGTTCAGATAGTGAACGGGGCACATTAAAATTTTACAGCCGCATTGCAACTGATTGCGGGCCACGAAATTGAAAGTATTCAATAAATTAACTAAAAGCCAACTTAAATGTCAAGACATGTCAAACGAGGGGCAGGCAGAGGGAGCGGGCATCGGCATGGGCATGGGCATGATTGCCGCCCCTTATGACAGCAATATACAAAAATAATAAATATGTACATATGTATGTCCGTCCGTGTTTGCATCGAGCCCATTTTAATTAAAGCTGCAATTGTGCAATAAATCGAAAGACATTTGCCAGCCATAATTGGCAGCTGCACCTGAGGCTAAACACAGTAAGACAGACAGCTCAGTAATTAATTATGTTTTTTGGACTTTAACGTACATTTAAGAGCTAGCGTCGTGTATGTAAAGTTGTGTGTTGTCTGAGCGCTTTGATAAATGTATTTTTAAAGCTATTTTAGCTTGAGATATCTTCCCACATTTAAGTATAAAGTGAATAATTTGTTGTTTTTTGAAAGTTATTGAGGAAACTGAGAGTTTATAGCTTTATCTTTGATGTTATCTGTGAATGAGGTTCTTAGTGGAGCATTTCTGATCATAGAGCTTCACACGCAAAAGACAGATTCCTAATTGGATATACCAAAATGAACCAAGTCTAAAGATCAAAGTAAGGCAGCGTAAGAACACCTTTCTACTATCTGCGACCTGAGAAGCTCTTCACAAACTCACTTAAATGCAAATTTATATATAAATTATATACACACACATACTCAGACCTGTCTGCTTTGCTTGTTGTGACTTAATGTTTTTATGATTTGACTTGATGAGCAAATATTGCAGAAGAAATTCAATTTTTCGCTCATTCGTTTTCTTTTGTTTGTCTTTGTGTGAAAGCTCAACTCAACTCTTGACATCTGCTCGACAGTTTTATTGGTGAATAATTGTGTATAATTAAACCATTTGTAAGGCACGTCGAGCAGGCATGATTGATCTATTCGATGGCAATGTGAAAATGAAATAAAAACAGCTGCCAGAATGAAACAACAACAATGGCTAGTATCAAAGGGAGAGGGAGAGGGGGAGGGAGAGTGAGGGAGGGAGACTGGAGCACATAGGAATTACTTGTGTGATGGTTGCCCTCTTTTTTTTTTTTGGGGGGGGTGACTGGGCGTGGCATGGCGTGGCAACAGAGCGTGGATTATGGCAATGATTGTTGTCGTTGTTGGCGTTATTGTTGCTGCTGCCAACCGCTAAAATAATCCATTAAAGATAAACTAAAAGCAAACACTAAACTCTTGTGCTAAGGCAAAGCAAACCGCAGCGCACCCACAAGCTGATAATCAATCATTTATCAATAAGCGACGGCACACGCCCAAAAACTGCAGTTCATGTTGTTGTTGCTACAGTTGTTGTTGTTGTGTTGTTGTTGCTACTGCTGTTGATTGGTTGCTCTAAGCTTTTAGTTTGCGTTTAACGCCTCATAGATTCTCTAAAGCGCCAAGGCGTAGGCAGCTCTGCGTGTGAATGGTGGAAGGGTAAGGGGCAGGGTGAGGGCAACTCCTGTGCAGCCCACATGGGAGACGACGTCAGAGTGTCTATGATAAAGTGATGTGCCTGTAAGTGTGCGTGTGAGTGTGTGTGTGAGTGTGTGTGAGTGTGTGGGGCATGCATTATACGCTCTGCCCGATAAGGCGCCGTCTGAATGTGAGAATTATTGACTGTGTGCGTGTGTCTCTCACACACACTCTCTCCCTCTCTCTGTGCGTGTGTGTGTGGCAAACGGAAACCGCATCAACTACCATTGGTTTAATTAATTTTCGAGAATTTTGATTTTGATTTGCAGCCGAAGCGCTGCAGCTATTGATTTGAAGTGTTCCACTAAATGGTGGGAAAATGCTCAAATCTTATGCAAATGCGGGCGAACGTTGATTTAATTGAAATTGATGCAATGCTTTAGATATATCGATGTATATATGTATGTGTGTATATATGAATATAATTGAATATAACTAAATGATTGTGGTTTTTTCTCTTTCTTATTTCCAGCATGCAACATAATGTGGCACCATCAGCAGCAGCAGCAGCAGTAGCGCAGGCAGGAAATTTGAAAAGCGCGTCGAGGTATGGGAAACTGCAAAAATGTGAGATCAACTTTGATGTGTCTCTGTGTGTGTGTGGCCTGCGGCAATGACTTTTAACGAGAGCATTTAAAACAATACGAAAAGCTTTAACGTAACGGTCTAAGGAAATTGCAAGCTGTAAGCAGCAGCAGCAGCGGCAATAACAATAAGAAGTGGAAGAAGAAGAAGAAGAAGAGCAGGGCAACAGCTGTGGGCACAGCGCGTTTAGCACGTGACGCGGCGCTAATAGACGACCCCGTTTTGTAACGGTAATTGGTGGCACACACGTGAGCGCACATCGAATCGTTCACACACCCACACACACACACACAGGCATCCAGCTAGCTGGCCAGGTGTCAAAATGGCCGTTAGCAACATCGTTTGCGAATGGCTGCGCGCCCTGGGGCTAGCGCAATACGCGGAAAGCTTCCTGGACAATGGCTACGATGACTTGGAGATTTGCAAACAAGTCGGCGATCCCGATCTGGATGCCATTGGCGTCGATAATCCAGTCCATCGACACAAGCTGCTCAAGAGCGTACGCTCGCTGCGCGAAAAGGGAGCTGCCTCAGTCTATTTCATGCTCAACGATCCCAATTCACTCTCGGGCAGCATGGAGATCCTGTGCGAGACGCCGCCCAGCAACGAACTGGAAATGGTGCTGGCCGAACAGCTGGAGACGGACGGAGTGCGTCTGACAGCGCATCCATATTCAACACCGGTAAGCGCTAGCAAATACATATACATATATATATATATAGATATTAATGTAAATATGTATATGCATACATTATATAAGACGCCACTGATTGGCAGCTAAAATGGGGCTTTGGCCTGTTGATTAGCGCCGGCTGCTGTGCTGCACCACCCGTAGCGCAGCCCGAGCTGTCAACTGCATCATGGTTATACATGGCTGTCAGCTGCGCCCAGACCCCGGCCTTGCCTTGCCTTGCCTGGGCTCGGACAGCTACTCATCAAGCTAACAACAAGTTCACAACTTCAATTCGCTCGACTGCGGCAATGCTCAGTTTTCATTAAATGTAGCTCACACCAGGCTCGAGCTAAAACCTATTCAAACTCTATTTCCTGGCTGGTTGAAGCAGCTTTTTATGCGCTACGAGGTGTAGTCAAATGGGGTATATTAGTTGGGCCATCACGAGGAGCTGAAGCTAGAAGTGAGACAAGAGATGATCTTGATTTTAGATTTAGTTAAATTATTATTATTTATTTGAATGCCCTTTTCTCTTGTATTTATTTATTAAGATAAGATCTCTGGCAGGCTTTGTAATAGACTTTAGCTCATCTCATCTGCTCACAGCTGCTTAGAGCATTAGCAAGTCGTGCATTGCTTTGACGCTTTGTAATAGAGAATCCAATTGCAAACAAAATTGCGAAAACTTAAAATTGTTTTAAATTGCGCTCAGGTGCGCCCTGCTCTCACCTTGCAACAGCACAGCTTTTGCCTCTTTCGTTCATGTTTGGCTCTCTTTTTTTTTTTTTTTTTTTTTTTTTTAGTTTTAAGTGGAGTTCAGTTTTGTAGCCACCCACAACAAAAGGTGGTGCAGCTAAAGCAAAAGCCCGACAAACTATTCAATGTCAGTTTACATACTTAAATTAAAATTCTACGACAAGCAAAGTGCAAAGTAAGAGTGAGTGGGTGAGAGAAAGAGAGAGGGAGAGAGAGGGACAGGGACTGGGGTTAGAGCATTTTCCAAATGTCAACCCGGTCCACACTTGACAGTAAAATGGAGCACATTTAAACGGTAGCCCCGCTGTCCGGCCACAGTTGCTGCCCCCTCTGCAGCCCGCGTTGCCCATGCTGCCCCTGCTGCCCCTGTTGCTGCCCCCTGAATGGCATTTGTATGCAGCTTTTGGCTTTGGTGCCGTCTCGAGTGTCATGATGTTGGTCCATTGTTCTGCCGTTGCTGGGCGGGTTTTTGGTGCCGTGTTGCAGGACGCTCAGGTAGAGAGGCGACATATCATGTGCCGACATTATATGTACCAAAAGGCAGCGATGCGTCGCAATTGCGCTGCGGGGCCAAACAATTGGGCAGCCAAGGCACTCGTCGAATCGTTTGCTAAATGTTATTTTTTTTTTTTTTTTGGTTATATACTTTCGGCAGCATTTAAAAAATGCCAGCGTTGCGGCGCCCTTTGCCGCCGTTGGCTTTGTGTAATTAAAGTAATTCTCAAAGATCCGATATTTTCGGGCATAGCAGCGAGACAAAGAGAAAGAGAGGGAGAGAGGGAGGGGGTTGCAGTGGAAAACGTGGCACAAACTCAATGTCTATGCGTCTTTAAGCCCTTTGTGATTTATTATGCAAAAGCTGAAATTATAAACTGACCAAAGTCTGCAGGTATCTGAGAAACTTGTGGAATTTGCACGTCAATCTGCTGGCAAAATGTGTGATTTATATATGAGAGACAGCAATACACACACACACACACACACATACACATGCATATAAATGAATGTATGCAACATCCTGCTGCTGCTGCTGCTGTTGCTGCGGCGGCTTCGTTGGGGGTTCAACGCGACGCTTGCCGCACAAATCACGTCATTGAGTTGTTTTCATCAAAAGGGCAAGCATGCAGCATCGCCCAGCTATGCTGAGGGTTTCGACTGCCGATGTCGGTGCCACAGCCGGTGCCAGTGGCCGTACCCACAGTTCGGTTCGTTCGTTACGTTTGGCTGATGAGTCCGCGGCTATCAGAGAGTCTCAAGTTGCCAGCAAGTTGCCTGCCCCAAGTCTGTGTGTTGGCTCATTCATTCATTTGCTGACGTCTCGCTGTCTCTTCGCCTGTCTGTCCGCTCGTTCGCTCGCTCGTTCGCTCGCTCGTCCGTTCGCTCGTTCGTTTTGTGTATTTTTATCCGAAAACTATCTGGCTGCCTGACGACTTCTTGCAGTTTTGTATCTGCGTATCGCTGGCATACAATTTTTATTTATTACTCATTCAGCTGCAAAATTGTTCCTTAATTGCCCATATCAGCTGAGAAATGAAATTTATTACCTGGCGTGTGTATATCGCCAGTGCCAGTCAGCCAAAGAGCCCGAGTGAACTGAAACATACAGCACACACACACACACACACACACATGCACACACAGACACATACATACAGTCGACACAGATACAGAGAACGTCCTAAACTTTTGCCAGCCGCATCATTATCAGCCTCGTCTGTGCCACAACCACAGCATCCGACTTGGACTCGGACTCGGCAGCAGCCGCAGCAGCAGCCGCAGCAGCAGCAGCAGGGGCAGCAGCAGCAGGAGCAGCAGCGGCAGCCGCATCGACATCATTAGTTTTGTGCGCCGCGCCGACAACGTTTTGTATATTTACTTAATATTGCAATGGTCTGTGCACTCTGTGTGTGTGTGTGTGTGTGTGTGTGTCCAGTCCTGGCGTCCATTTATCTCGACGTGAACGTGGACAGCAACCTTCTGTGATTTCTGATTTCTTATGCCAATTTACTCTTGACTATAGACCGCGTGCAGCATCGAGCTGCTCCATATTGAGACCCATCATCATCATCATCATCATCATCATCATCATTATAATCATCATCATCATCTCATCAGCAGCAGCAGCAGCAATAACAGAGGCAGACAGCGCTTGCTTTTGCCATAGATCAAAAGACAGTTTGCTTTAGTTTTTCGCCCTCTCTCTCTCTCCTTATCTCTCTCTCTTTCCCCCCTCTCTGTCTCTGTTTCCTTCTTTTATTTGTGGCATTTGTTGTATAATTTTATTTTATGTGCCTGTAGCCTTGACCAGGTCAAGTTGTTTTGGGGTCGAACTGCCTAGCCAGCGCTCTAGCTAGCTCTAGCTCGACTCGACTTGACTCGGCTCAGCTCGGCTCGGCTCCACTCAACTGAACTGAGCACGGTCTCTGCTCTGTTCTGCTCTGGTCTGGTCTGGTCTGGTCTGAGGTCTGGGGTCCGGGACGACTTTGGCTTGACTTTAAGTTATTTCAGCGCTGGGCTTTTATTGATTTGTCCTCTTTGATCTTCTGCCTGAGCTGTGGCATGATTTCATTTTTATGAACTTGACTTTCTGTGCATTTTTATTTTGATTTCAGCTCTCTCTCCCTGCCCCTAACCTGCTCCGGCTCCTGCTCAGACTTCTCCTTGGCCTCGTCCACCTTTTGTGCGGAGCATTTTCTGCGTATCGTGGCAAGTAATTGCCGCAATTCAATTTGTTCATGCGGCTCTTGTGTATTGTTTTCCTCTAGTGGTTGTTGTTGTTGCCGTTGTTGTTGTTGCTGCTGCTTACAAATTATAGCCCCGTTTGCCGTGTTGCAATTTAATGTCCATCAATAATTTGCAATGATTGCAATGATTTTTAGCTATTTGATTATTTATTATCATCGTGTTTGACTGAGCTAAGCTGCCCAATATTGCATTCCATTTTAATTACAGCTTTTGACATTTTCCCATTGATTTGCACAGTTTCATTTGAATTATTCAAAAATATATGTATTTGGCATAATTCAGCATATGCGCATGCCAAAAGTCAAAGTTTTGCATATGAAAATATGCCTTCTTAATTAAACAAATTATGGCAGCAGCTCTGCCAAAAACTTTATTCGTTATTCATAGGCTTAAACACAAACATCCTTTGGGCCCGCATCTGATTACTATTATTATTATTATTATTATTATTGGCCTGCATTCCGTTGAGTGGAGTTGTTGGTTTGGCTGGCAGTTGGGTTTTAACTTTCACAGCGACCCCTATCATTGCGTAAATTAAAACATGAGCAGCATTCAGCCACGCCCCGCTGTACGACATCAAAGCGAGCCGGTTTTTGGCTAGCTGGCCAATCAAATTTGCATAGCTACGCGACTGTGCCTGCTGTGCCTCAGCACCTCATCGGTGCTATTGGTGCCTCAATCAGGCATTTAACACCAAAGTGGAGAACTGTGAACGCATTCATTGCTCATAAAAAATTAAAGTCTAATTGTACACAAAGCCACGTTTACAGTTTACAGTTTCCCAACGGGGCGGCTACACGATTTTTGTTTTTTCTTTTGCCAGGGAGTGGGAGCGGGGACAGACCCTAAACTAAACGCCCAAGCTGCAGAAACCCTCTTCAAAGCCGTCAGGCAATGGGCTGCGTGCTTTTTAATTAATTTAATTGCGATTTAATTACGCTTGCTATTTAATTAAACACATTGGCAAGTGAAGGAGGCGTTCGTGTAAATTGCATGCAAAGTTTTTTGGCAGCACTCGAAACAAAATCAACACACAGTGGGAGTACGTATGTATACGTGTGTGTGTGTGTGTGTGTGTCTGTTCAATTGGAGTGCTTGTAGTTTGGCAATTGTGGCTTAATTAGACATGCAGCTAAATTGATTTGGCCGTTAGGTGCGCTTGGAGCTGCTTCAGAGAGTTCACATGCAATTTATCGACGTGCTCAGTGGCCCATTGATAATTGACGATTAATTTAATAGAATGTCCAAGTTTGGTGTTGCAACTAACTGGCATTGGCATTGGCAATGGCATTGGCATTGGCACTGCCACAGTCTCTGACACTGACTCCCGGCAATGGCTGTGACTGCAGCTCGGACTCTTGGCTCTGACTCTTGGCTGTCTGTCGGCATGCTCAATTGTGCGAAGTTATTTCGCATGCCGCAATGTGGCACCAAAACGCTGTCGTCGCCTGTCTTTCTCTTTCGCTAAAGTCAGCTACTGTCGCGCCTGTCGGCTAGTTGCGATTCTG